ACTACTACTACTACGACTACTACTTCTTCTTCTTCTACTACTACAATAAAGCCAAACAATGCCCTGATACCCTAAACCACAAACCCTAAATCCAACACCCCAAAAAGATCACAGGGCGGAGTGTGCCACGGTTTCTCTGAGTTTTTTTGGTGTTTTGGAATGCTCTCCCGATCCTGCAGCGGCTTTTATCGTGCTGACAGAGGTAGACGCAGCTCACGATGGTGAATGTGTGCTTTTGTAGGGTTTAGGGTTTGGGGTTTAGGGGTTTAGGTTTTAGGGTTTAGAGTTTAGGGTTTAGGGTTTGGGGTTGAAAACCTAAACCCTAAGCCTATGTATGCATGCATATCACATCTGCACACACACACACACACCTGAGATGCCTCGAATGGTGTGTCTACATGTACGCACATACTTGGAGGCTCATGGTACTTATTAACCAAGTATAACTGTACTTAGAACTGTACGTGTCACCATATTAGGGCACCTAAGGCGCTTATAAGTGGGTTATAAGTACAGTTTAATTGGCGAAGACGTACCATGAACCTCCACGTAGACCTTCCCAGAGAAGAAGATTGCTTAGCCAAGGGTTTAGGTTTTTAGGGTTTAGGGTTTAAGGCATTTAGGGTTTAAGGCTTTTGGGTTTAGGATTTAGGGTTTAGGGTTTAGGGTTTGGGGCTTGGGGGTTTAGGTTTAGGGTTTAGGTTTTAGGGTTTAGGCGCTTCCCCAGCCAACCGATGAACTTTAAGCTCCACGTGTCTCCTGATGTTGTGGGTTTAAGGTTTAGGGTTTGGTTTAGGGTTTAGGGTTTAGGGTTTAGGGTTTAGGGTTTAGGGTTTAGGGTTTAGGGTTTAGGGTTTAGGGTTTAGGGTTTAGGGTAAGAAGCTTTAACCTTGCTATTTCTTGGGTACTGGAGAAGCAAGGAACCGTAAGTAGAATTGTCCTGAACCCTAAGCCCTAAGCGGGGGTTTAGGGGTTCAGGGTTTAGGGTTTAAGGTTTAGGGTGTTTAGGGTTTAGGGCGCTAAAGCACACCGCCCAGGGTCGCGAGGGTGGCGGCATGCTCTGAAAAAATTCGTCCTGGCGTCCAAGACCATGGACACTAAGACACAGGAGCGCGTCGGAGACCCTCATGCAGAGGAGGACCCGAGGGATTTAATTTCATACATACATATATATATATATATACACATACATATATACATATGTATATATATATATATATGTATCCGTGTCAAGCCTTAAACCAATAACAAAGGGGCTAGTTGAGGACAACTTAGGTGTGGAAGGACTGTATGAGCTTTACATAAGACACTAAGTCTACAGAATTCCGTGCTTTGAAGCTGTCATTCACTGCAAATGAACTCCCTCAGTCTTAGGATGTAGGGTTTAGGGTTTAGGGTTAGAGTTTTGTAAGCCCTAACCCCGAAATCTTGGATCATGGTGCACCCCTGTGCGATGCACAGGCTTGTGAGCTTGTGCTTAGGGCTTGAGGCTTATTTACACTAGGGTCCGGGTTTAGGGTTCACAGGGTTTAGGGTTTGGGGGTTTAGGGGTTTAGGGTTTAGGGTTCATAGGGTTTAGGATTTAGGGCTCAAGGGTGCAAGATCCTCGCACCCGGGTACTTGAAGTTGAGTCTTGTGGAAGATCAGCCCGAAAAATTCGAACACTTTGCTCACATATCCAGGGGCTTAAGCCCTACAAGCACAAAACTCCGAGGTTTACGGTTCAGGGTTGATAGGACTCTTCAAGCAATCAGAGTGGTACTTCCAGTATGTTGTGCTCCATCTGTATAGGCTTATGAAGCCTCGAGCCCCGTAAAGCTCCATAAAGCCTCATAAGGCTCCATAAAACCATATACAGCCCGATACAGCCCTTCGGGTTTAGGGTTTAGGGTTTAGGGTTTAGGGTTTAGGGTTTAGGATCTAGGGTTTCGGGTTTAGGGTTGAGGGTTTAGGGTTTAGGGTTTAACGTCTCATGAAGCCCTATGGAACCCTATGAAGCTCTCTCATAGGCCTCTGGCTGAGGAGTCTGCAACCACGCACACCACGCAGACCACGCAGGTCGAGTACCCTCCACACTTGCCGAAAGAGTCGAGGGGTTAAGGGTTTAGGGTTCAGGTTCAGAGAACCTAACTGCAGAAACCTGATATCCCAAACCCTAGAAAAGTAAATGAGGATAAAGTTAGGGTAATTGTCTTCGCGGATCTGTTTATTGTGGTTCTTGGGAACGATACCCTGTTCGCGCGCGCGCTTCAGGAGGTTCAGTGGCTGCCCGGGACTCGTTTTTAGCGATATAAATAGTGCTTCTGCTCATGCCACCCACACGAAATCATCGGCACCAGCGACGTTTCCTCACTTTGACCACATGTCACATTTCATTCCTCCGCACACACTGTGTACTCTGCTTGCTTTCTCTTCTTCTTCTCTTCTTCCAGCCATGGAACTTTGGGGTCCTCAAGCTGCCGACCCAGAGTGGTTGTCTCGGCAGCTACGAGCTTTAGCTGCCTACGAGCGGCAAGTGAACCTGGTGCCAGATGAGCCTTTTGTGGTCTCCGACGATGACAGGGACGTTGCGCAGGATCCTCCAGTTCCTTGGACTTTGTGGTCTCTTTTTTTCTTCTCAAGCGGGTACCTTGAAGTTTGTCAGCTGATTTTTGACCAACAGTGTCTCCAGGTTGCTCCTGTGCCCGCCTGGAACCCACACGTTCTTCTGCACTGCCGGAATGGGCTTGCAAGCACTGCTTCGAACAGCACAGTCTCTGCCGACAGCGCCTCTCTCGAGCCTTCCTCCTCCAGCACTGCTCCAGACCTGCAATCCCGACCAGGTCCAGGACTGCGACTTCAGCATCACCCTTAACTTGAACCTTCAACCCTGTCTTCCGAGTTTCCACAAGTAATGTCCCCCCTTAACCCGACACCTTTAATCCCGCATCTGGACTTCCAGGAGCCCTGTCCGTGACTCCGCTTCGACCTCCAAGTCTACTCGCACTGGCAAGCAGTTGAAGTGGGCAAAGTGTGACCGATGTGGCTTTGCGATGTCCCCGCATATTTTTCATCCGGAGAGATTCTTGGTTGCATGAGCTTCTTGCCCATTTCTTTCCCTCAACCCTAAACCCACAACCCTAAAACCCAAAACCCCAAACCCTGCTTGGAAGCTCTCAGTTTGCAGGCATCGAAACCAGGTGCACCTCCTCTGCTCCAATTTTTGGAGAGGCAGAAAGTGCTGGCATAGCTTGCCCTTTCCCGTAGAAAGGATGCATGAGGCCTCTCCGTACATTAGACGTTTCGCGCAAGATGTGCGATTCAGCCTTTTCCGGAACGGGAAGAAGTAGGTAGCTTGACTGGGTGGCGGCTGCAGACACGTCTCCCCACCGTAAACCCCAGTACCCGGAGTGACAAGCGTTCTCCATGCGCTTGCGGTGTACAGAAAAGACAGAGCAGGTTGCATTGGATGCTCCCCAGACGACTTCGGTGATTCGAAGAAAGACCGAGGTTGGCTGCTGATGTGACTCTCCGTGACGCATCGACCGACGCAGAAAGTCAACATGTCCGCGCGCGAACAGAGGTTCGGCGCGTTCTTAGAGGGCTCAGGACTTCAAGGCTGAGTGTTAGAGGAGTTAGGATTTTCTGAGCTTTTGGGGCTCTGAGTACCCTAAGGCCTAAACCCTACACTCTAAACCCTAAACCCCAGGGTTTTCGTGTTCAGGCTATAGGGGTTTTGGGGTTTAGGTTTGAAGGGGTTCGGATCTTTTGGGCTTGCAGCTCTGAGGAATTTGGGGGGAATTTGGGGCTTTGGGTTTAGGAGTACCCTAAACCCTAAACCCTAAATGTGCTATTGAAAGGGTTTTCATCTTGGCAAGTGGGGCTACTGGTACCCAGACCATGCACACGACTTTCATGCATCAACGGTGTCAACTTGACTCTGCTGATGGCAGAAAAAAGGTGCGTCATATGGGGGGGGGGGGGGGGTACGAAAATAGGAGACCCCGAAAGTAAGCCCCAAATGGTAGGATCCCCGTATAACAAGGACCCTAATAAGGCACCCCTAGTATCGTAAAACCCCCACCTGGCTTGGGGGTTTATAATGCTGTATTTGGTGAGTGTATATATGGCTCCTTATGAATAGTGGTGGGTGTATATGCTGGGTGTCCTTTTATGGGTACGAGCAATTTAGATCTTACTCCATATGGCTGGGCTTGTGGCCCTGAACGGTTTCGGGTTTCGAGTTTAGGGTTTAGGGTTTAGGGTTTGGGGTTTAGGGTTTAGGGTTTAGGGTTTAGGGTTTAGGGTTTCTACAGCTGCAGCTATGCCCCTTATAAACCCACGCATCACCATTGTTCTAGAGTTCGTGGCCTTCAGAAACCCTACGCCCCAATTACAGGTGGATGGGCTCTTGGCCTGCTTTCTGTTTAGGGTTTAGGGTTAGGGGTTAGGGGTTGTAGGGTTTAGGGTGTACGGGGTGTAGGGTTTAGGGTTTAGGGTTTAGGGTTTAGGGTTTAGGGCTTCTTTGGCCATAGGGCTAGGACTTAGTGAGCTTGTAGGGCTACAAGTTTTTCTCATGTGCGCCGTTTTGCACACATCTAAACTGCAGCCAACCCTCTCCCCGACAGATCGGGGCACCTCAGCACAAGTCCCCACCCCTGTTTATGTCCAAGGACCCCCTGAACTTATCCTGCGGTTTAGGGTTTAGGGTTTAGGGTTAGCCGGAACCCGAGAGGTGTAGTTCAAGTGCGTTAATTACGCTGCTCCTGCTTGCAGCATTTTTCAACGCTCATGAAATGCCGGTGCAAGCGTGATGTACGGCATTCGTGCATAATAAGGGTAAGTCCCATAGCCCTAAACCGTAAACCCTAAACCCTAAACCCCAACTCCTGACTTTGTTTCCCGGCTCCCAGCTCCAAAGCCAACACCCGCAACCCCAAAGCCCTTCTGCGTACGTTGTCGGCGGTGTGTGGTGTGTTGTGAGGGTGCAATTGCTCCCCTAACGGCAGCGCGCTGAGAAGATGGCCGATGGCTCGGGCAGGAGCCTACGTAAAACGAAAGGAGAAGGTTCCTACAGGCCTTGTAGTAGGGAATTTGCGAGCCTTAAACCCTAAACCCTAAGCCCTAAATCCTAAACCCTAAACACTAAACCCTAAACCCTAAACCCTAAACCCTAAACCCTAAACCCTAAACCCTAAACCCTAAACCCTAAACCCTAAACCCTAAACCCTAAACCCTAAACCCTAAACCCTAAACCATAAAACCTAAACCCTAAACCCTAAACCCTAAACCCTAAACCCTAAACCCTAAACCCTAAACCCTAAACCCTAACCCTAACCCTAAACCCTAAACCCTAAACCCTAAGCCCTAAGCCCTAAGCCCTGAACCCTAACGGGCTCTTATCGAGGAGAGTGGGGGGGGGGACGAGGTGTTACTTGGCCTCCAGAAGCCTGCGCCCTAAATCCTAGGGTTGGGGGGGTTGGGTACACCCGCAACCCTAGCACGGGCGTGGGATGTTTTGGGTCTATAGGGTTTTGGGTTTAGAGTTTAGGGTTAGGGAAAGTTGAATTCAGGGCTGGTATCTTCTCTACGCTTGAGTGTCCGCAAGACCCAAGCCCAAGCCCCAACGCTTGAAGTCTTGACTCCTAAACACCAAAGCCCTAAACCCTAAATCCCTCAACCTAGACCCTGCCCTAAACCTGAAATCCTAAACACGGCTGCGCCCAGGAGCCCGTTGCTAGACGATGCCGCGCCTTTTGGCTTGGGGTGATTGCGGGAGAGGGGGGGGGGGGGGGGGGTGGGGTTGAGGGCACATTGTTTAGGGTTTAGGGTTTGGGGTTTAGGGTTTGGAGTCATTTAAGCTCTCGCTGGTACAGGGGAGCTTTTCAGAGGCTTGCATCATGAGGGCTCCAGAGAGTTAGACAGATTTAATATTTTAGCGTTACAGAGCGCTAAGGGTCTTACCGGGGCCCTTTGCTCTTGATGTGCATGTTTCAATCCTGCCATGCAGCCCCTAAACCTAAACCTTATGGTTCTTGCAGGTTGCTTACGACTGGCATAAGTGGATTTAAGGTCAACTCCCCCAACCCCCCCCCCACCACCCCGCCCCCCAAACCAAAAAAGAAGAAGAACAAGAAGAACAATATGAAGAAGAATAAGAAGAAGCAGAAGAAACACAAACCACACATCAAGCAACACCCTTACCCTAAACCCCTTGTGAAACCCTGAGCCTTAGCCCCTCTCACCCTGCGTGGCTCTCTATGTGTGAAATGGTGCCTCACTGCCAGTCGTATTAAGAGTCATGGTACCCATTTGAGCCCCTCAAGAAAGTGCAAGTGTGTGTGTGACTGTGACTGTGACTGTGACTCTTCCGGCCCAGAAGCACAAAACCGCGAACCCCTCAACCCCTAAAACCCCGAAACCCTCAAACTCTCAACCCCTGAACCACTGAACCCTTGAAGCCCTTAAGCCCTCAAACCCCTAAACCCGTAACCCCTCAACCCAAACCCAAAACTCTGAACCCCTCAACCCTAAACCCTAGACCCTAAACCCTAAACCCTAAACCCTAAACCCCACCAAATGTTGAAACCTGGAGCCGAACCTCCATTCGAGCTCCTCCGGGCCGAATGCTGAGGCTTGGGGCCACTGCACCTCCAATGCCACTAGGCCTTTGCATCTTTTGGGGTTTAGGGTTTAGGGTTTAGGGTTTAGGGTTTAGGGTTTAGGGTTTAGGGTTTAGGGGGGAGGGCATCAAGAACCGCTGTGCCGGGGAAGGGGGGAAGCTCCTAAACCCTAAACCCTCAGCCCAAAATCCTAAACCCTAAGCCCTTCCGGGTACCCTAAGCGCATCGTTTACCCCGCAGCGATTGAGGTTGCTTTTGCAGCTCCTGAAATGGCTAGAGCTGTTTTCAACAGGGTGGCCTCGTAGTTGTGGGCACTGCCGTTGGCGGAAGGCTAGCAGAGACCCTTAACACACTGTTTTGAAACGATACCTGAAGGTAGAGTTAGCAATCTGCACAGACTGCTTCATGTCGATGGAGTTTTTAGATACTCGTACAAGCGAAGTGTCTCACATCAGATAGCCCGGACGAGAGGAAAGGCCTTCAAAACAAAACGAAGATGTTGACTCGCGAGCGCCTTCCACTTGCACTTCACGCAGCATGCCTGAAACCCTAGACCCTAAACCCTAAGCCCTGAACCCTGAACCCTAAACCCTAAACCCTAAACCCTAAACCCTAAACCCTAAACCCTAAACCCTAAACCCTAAACCCTAAACCCTAAACCCTACCAGGCCCAGAAACGAACCTGGAGCTACAGCCATCCGCGCCCGCCGCGCCCCTCACGGCTGCAGAGCTGGAGCACCTCATGCAGTCGTTCCTTGCCTTGGTACCCTTTTTCCCCTTTTTGTTGTTCAATGTTTAGGGTTTAGGGTTTAGGGTTTAGGGTTTGGGGTTTAGCCCTAAACCCTAAACCCTAAGCCCTAAATCCAGAAATCGGTGCCCTTGATACAATATGGTTGCTGGGCTACCAAGTTGGGCTTGCGCTTCTGGCTGGTAAGGAATGAGGGAATGGGATATACAGGGTGGGGCCCCCTAGTTATAAGTAGAGTTATAAGGGCCCTAAATTGGGTTATAAGGACCCTAAGTTAGGTTATAAGTCCCTTAACTACAGTTAGTATAGTAAGGGGGCCCCACCCTGTATATTCCCTTAAAGGGTATATGTGGAGGGCCCTTCTTCCCTCATTCCCTACTAAGAAGCAGGGGGGCTTGGTCATTGGGATCCAGGGAATATTTTTCAATTTCCCCTTGTTGGGTTTGGGGTTTAGGGTTTAGGGTTTAGGGTTTAGGGTTTAGGGTTTAGGGATATTTTCGATGTACCCTTATTGGGTTCAAGAGTTGCTTGTTGAGGAACATTTTGTCAGAAGGCTTTTAAGGGGTTTATGAGCCAAGCCTGGGGATAGACGTTATTATAGCTTTGAGGCTTTAATCTAAGGGCAGGGATCATGGTTCGACCCTAAACCCTAAACCCCAAACCCTAAACCCCAAAACCCTAAACCCCAAACCCTAAATCTTGCTCCTTTAGTTGCCGCTCACGTCCATTGGCTTTGGGTCAGGACTTTTGAGGGTTCGTCATGTAGGGTATAGGGTTTGGGTTTAGGGTTTGCGGATGTTTGCGGTTTAGTATACGGTTTGGGTCGACCAGCCTTATGGAGTTGCAACTGAGAGGATGTGAACATCCAGCTGGCTGTGATACCCCCTGCAAGCATATCAGCCGGCCCTATGGGTTTAGGGTTTAGGGTTGAGTTCTGACCGTATATCACTAATCCATACAGCCTGAGCTATTGCTATTGCATATTCATATATACAATCCCCTTAATCTCCCAGCCTCAAACGACCTTCTGCCCAGGACTCATTTATCCTAGCACCTTTGTGCAAACCTTAAGAAGGGTTTGACCCTGCACATACCCCAAACCCTAAACCTTGAACCCTAAACCCTAAACCCTAAACCCTAAACCCTAAACCCTAATTGGCAGATCTCAGGCTCCCCACCGGCCGGGACCCGCTGCCCACAGAGCAGGCGCTCCGCGGGGGTGCCCAGAAGCTTGGGGTTTGCCCCCAAACCCTAAGATCCCTTCAGTTAGGGTTTAGGGTTTAGGGTTTAGGGTTTAGGATTTAGGGTTTAGGGTTTAGGGTCAAACCCCAAACCCTAAACCCTATTAAACCCTGTACGGTGTACAGGGTGTCTGATCTTCTTTGGGCAGCTCCCCTTGATTTAAGGTCCCTTCAGGGATTCAGGGATGCTTTTGTAACATGGGGCCTTCAATTCAAAGGCCTTCATTTAGGGCACCGGGTTTAGGATTTAGGATTTAGGGTTTAGGGTTTAGGGTTCAGGGTTTAGAGGCCAGGTGATTCCTAGTCTGAGGTTGTTTCTGGCTGATTGAGTCCCGGCCCGAAACCCTAGACCCTATGTCCTGGAGTTTTGGGTTTTGGGGTGTTGGGTTCAGCCTGAAGATTTTTGGTCGGGCTTAGCGTAGTTTTCAATGTAAGCGATGGAGCTTAGCATCTCCGGTTAAGGGGTTCAGGGTTCACGGAGTACCTTTTTAGGGTTTATGGGTCCGAGCTGAGCATCTTTTGGGAATGAGGGGTGTTGACTGTTTTTTCGAAAGAACCCTAAACCCTAAACCCTAAGCCCGAAGCCCGAAGCCCCAAGCCCCAAGCCCCAAGCCCCAAGCCCTAAGCCCTAAGCCCTAAACCTAAACCCGAAGCCCCTGTTCAAACATCCAGGGGGGCAGGGACAAAATGGCTAAACTCTAAGCCTCCAATCCGAAGCACGGGCGTGTGGCTCAAACCCTGAACCCCAAACCCTAAACCCCAAACCCCAAACCCTAAACCCTAAATCCCAGACCCTAAACTCAAAACCCCAAACCCAAAACCCCAAACCCTAAACCCTAAACCCTAAATCCCAGACCCTAAACTCAAAACCCCAAACCCCAAACCCTAAACCCCAAACCCTAAACCCTAAACCCTAATGCTTCTTGGATGCCGAGGAAGCTTCCGCACGGCCACGGCTGGGAAGGCAGTCTGGGATTACTTGGCGGTTCATTGTACTTACTAACCAATTATAAGGTTTAGGGTTTAGGGTTTAGGGTTTAGGGTTTGGGGTTATAACTGAACTGACAACTGGACCTATATAGCCATATTGGGGCACTGAAGGGGCTTATCAGTGGGTTCTAAGTACAGTTATGATTGATTCATAAAGTAATGAACCTCCATGTAGGGGGCCATTCTGGGACCTACAGGGTGGGGCCCCCTTACTATACCAACTGTAGTTAAGGGACTTATAACCTAACTTAGGGTCCTTATAAACCAATTTATGGCCCTTATAACTCTACTTATAACTAGGGGGCCCCACCCTGTAGATTGACAAGATCCCTCAACCCCGAGATCCCTTTTCCGAGTGGACGAGGGTTTAGGGTCTGGGGTTGTGGGTTTAGGGTTTAGGGTTTAAGGGCTTGAATGCTTAAGGGTTTAAGAGTTCAGGTTTGAAAGGTCCGACTCGTAAACTTTAAGAACCCGATCTTGCGAAGCATCTCATGCAACTCCCCAGGAGCTGTCAGAATCCCGAAACCCTAAACCCGAAACCCTAAACCCTAAACCCTAAACTCAAAATCCAAAACCCAAAACCCAAAGTCCAATTTGTTGGACATTCTATCGTCTTGGGGATGGCTCTAAGCCGCAGCATGGTAGGTACCCCGAACTTCCCCAATGAAGGCTTTCAGGGACGAAAGGAGGGACCCTTATTCGGGACCTTAGGGGTTATTTAGGGGCTACTTCGGTATGTAGGGGCTATGTAAGGTATGTATATACAGATATATATATATATATATATACATATATAGGGGTTACATACTAGGGGTCCCTCCTCATACCCCGTAAATCAGGAGTACCCTTCCCTATATGGTCAGTTAAATTATTGTCCTCGTTGGGGTACCCTACATACTAGGGGCCGCCTTATAATTAGGGCCTTAAAAGAGACCATGTTTTCGAGAAGTGACCAGATCATCAGCGGAATCCGCAACCTGAATATGTTGAGGAACAATCCTACACCCTAAACCCCAAATTTGGAACCCTAAACCCGAAATCACAAGCCCTAAATCCTAAATTCTAAACCCCAATTTGGGTACCCTCACCCCTAAACCCTAAACCCCAAATTGGTACCCTAAACCCAAACCCTAAACCCTAAGCCCTAAACCCTAAACCCTAAACCCTAAATCCTCCAGAAATGCCCATCCCCAATGGAAGGTGGTGTGGGCCGAGCAGATGCGGCAGCTCGCGTCATCGACCGTGGCTTGGTCGGCGTAATCTTCGCATTATCTCGGATAAGGGTTTAGGGTTTAGGGTTTAGGGTTTAGGGTTTAGGGTTTAGGGTTTAGGGTTTAGGGTTTAGGGTTTAGGGCGGTCAAGATGGTACAGGATCCTCTGAGAATGAGGATTCGGGTTTGGGGGTTGGAAGTAGACTGATAATTAGGGTTTTAAGTGCCCTAAACCCTAAACCCTAAACCCTAAACCCTAAGCCCTAAGCCCTAAGCCCTAAGCCCTAAACCCTAAACCCTAGACACGCCTAGGCCCTCAAGCCTTGGGCCACCCCTAACTTGTCCCCAGAGGCTCAGGTTTGGGTTTAGGGCTTAGGGTTTAGGAGTGTGGGGTTTAGGGTTTGCGGTAGTTTAGGGCTTAGGGTTTAGGAGTTTGGGGTTTGCGGTTTAGGGTTTAGAGGGTTTAGGGCTTCAGGCTTAGGGCTTTACATTCGACTAGGATCCTAGGATCCCTGTTGCAATCTCAGGAATATTTCCTACTGAAGGAATACATAGACTCTCTTAAAACCTCAGCCTTAATTCCTGAACCCTTAGCCCTGAACCCTGAATCCTCCCCAACAACCCGGAGTTAAGGGATATAGCCCTAAACCCTGAACCTTAAACCCGATGCTTTAAACTGGACTGCTAAGGCGGGCGGGCAGCAGTTCTTCCGCGAGGCAAGGTTGTTTTAATCTCAGGTTCGTTTAGGGTTTAGGGTTAGGGTTTAGGGTTTAGGGTTTAGGGTTTAGGGTTTAGGGTTTAGGGTTTAGGGTTTAGGGTTTAGGGTTTAGGGTTCGATTGACCTTAAAGCGGGACGTGGTCTGCACCCCCAAACAGTCAGGGTGTCCTGCAAATCCTAGCCAATTTGAGTTAATTGAGGAGGCCCACACCAAAGCAGGTATAAAATTAAGCCCTGAAGCCAAACCCTAAGCCCTAAACCGGTTTGGGATACAGGAAGCCCTAAAGCATGAGCCTCAAAAGCCCTAAGCCCCATGCCCAAAATCCCTAATGCCCTTGAACCACCGAAACCCCAAATTTCCAAAACCCCCCAACCCCCCAAACCCCTAAAACTACACCCTAAACCCCGAGAACCCTGCGACCCCACCGCGGAGGCCTACGAGCGGCAGCTGATCTTAGATCCCGAGAAGATCACCACCGCGGATGGGTGCCCGTGGCACGCACTTTCTCCAGGATTTCGCTTGAGGAACTGTTGGGTTCAAGGTTTAGGGTTTGGGGTTTAGGATTCAGGGTTTAGGGTTTGGGGTGTAGGGTTTAGGGTTTAGTGTTTAAATCGGATTTTGGGTTTAGGGTTTAGGGGTTAGGGTTGACAGAAAGATCCCTCAAAGCTAGTTGCAGATATATACATTGTGGCATTCAAGTGCTTCGGGTTCCTTAAGCTACTCGTAGACCGTAAACCCTACACCCTAAACCCTAAACCCTAAACCCTACACCCTAAACCCTAAACCCGTGGGAGCTCATGGCCGCGATATGGCACGAGGCAACATGGATCCAGCGACTTGCCGAGCTGCTTGCTGGTACTTGGAGGTTCATGGTTTAGGGTTTAGGGTTTGGGGTTTAGGGTTTAGGGTTTAGGGCTACTTGGAGGTTCATGGTACTTATTACCAATTATGACTGTGCTTATAACTGTGCTTATAGCCATGTTAGCTTATAAGTGGGTTATGAGTACAGTGATAATTGGTTAATAAGTACCATGAACCTGCAAGTAGTGAACTGCAAGAAGAGCAGCAAGATGTCCGCGCCCTGCTTTCAGTGAATCGCTTCGCATCGCTTGCGTATGAGCAACTCCGAAGCCCATGCTGTGCCCGGCACTCAGCCGCAGAGCCGGCTGTGGGTTTAGGATTTAGGGTTTAGGGTTTAGGGTTTAGGGTTTAGGCTTTAGGGTTTAGGGTTTAGGGTTTAGGTGGAGATGGACAGGCATTGTTAGAACGTTAACATGCCTTGTGTGCATCACTGGTGGCATGGGTTTCGTTAATGTGAAAAGAGCTTCAATGAAACCCCACGCAGGCCCTTCAAACCCCGAACCCGAAATCCTAAGCCGCTGGCCATATGAATAGCATCAGGGTTCAGGGTTCAGAGCATCAGGGGTTTATGCATTCTCCTTAGGTTTAGGGCAGGTAAAGTCAACTGGGAGTCGTTCGAAAGTAATGGTTTCGGGGGCGCGGAAATCCCACAATACACGGGTATCGAGGCAAGCAGCTAGTCTAGAGCAGGGCCCCTACCTAGACCCCAAACCCTCAACCCTCAACGCCAAACCCTGGGGCAAACCAAACAAAAAAAGTCAAAGGGCTCCTTGTTTACCATTTGTTTCGGGCTTAGGGTTCAGGATTTAGGGTTTTAGGGTTAGCTGTTTGTGGTTCCTACATGGTTTAGATACCAACGAAGCTGGAGAATGGCGTATCCATGCCAAGCTTTGGGTGAAGAAACCCAGAAGGCTCGGGTGCTGGCTGAGGTTTTAGGGTTTCGCCCTAAGTTCTAAACCCCCGGCCTCAAACCCCACGCCTTGAGCCTTTCATCCTAAACCATCAACCCAAGTTCTAAACCCCTAGAAATTGAACGGGAAATCCCAAACCCGAAACTATCCCCAATCCCAATGCCCCCAAAAATCCTAAACCCCAAGACCTCAACTCACAAGCCACCCCAAACCCCAAACCTTACACCCAAAGACCCTAAACCCCAAAACCCCAAGCCCTAAGCCCCAAGCCCTAAACCCTAAACCCTAAACCCCAAACCCAAACCCTAAGCCCTAAACCCAAAACCCTAAACGCCCGCAACCCGAAGCCCTAAACGCGAAACCCAAAACTCAGCAAGCATTTGTAAACCCCAAACCCCAAACCGAAAAACCGAAACCCTAAACCCTAAACCCTAAATACCCTAAACCCTAAACCCTAAACCCTAAACCTCAGGGACTGGGCATCCCCGAGCTGGGCGCCCAGCGCCCCACCGCTGGAGTCAGCTGGCGAGGTGGGGCTTTTGGGGTTTGGGGTTTAGGGTTTAGGGTTAGGAGTTTAGGGTTTAGGAGTGTAGGCGTTTAGGGTTTATATAGAGTTCAGGATTCAGGATTCGGGTTGGCTTGGGGTTTAGAGATGAGATTGGGGGTCCCTATCTTAACTACCCTGAATCCACAATCTGGCCCAAATTGCCCTGAAGTACCCTGGCCTAAACAATGCAGCTTCCCAAGTTGTTTGAGAATACGATGCTCAGTAGTGCCCTTATTCCCTTTTTTTCGGGTGGTTCTGGTACCTTATAAACCACCCTTTTTCATCCTAGGTTACTGGGCAACCTACCCCCCCGCCCCCCCCAATAGGGTTTAGGCTTTACTGAGGGTTTAGGGTGTAGGGTTTAGGGTCACTTCCTCCACACCACACACACATACCGAATAACCCACATTCTGTTTCCACACATCATGGTCAGCTTTTCGCCAAGATGCGCACGCAGCAACCTCATCGCCATGCTCATCTACAAGGCGAATCTTCAGTGACATCGCCGCACATCACTGCTTCAAGGAAGAGCGCAATCATCGAGGTAAAGCTCTGGCAGCAGCGTTGCGGTGATGTCTCCGGACGGCCCGGGCATTTGTATGCATCACACCTTCCTCCTACCTGACCTCAGCCTAGACCACGAACTTGGACAGGCTGCGAGCCCTAAACCCTAAACCCTAAACCCCAAACCCCAAACCCTAAACCTTTAAACCCTAAACCCCAAACCCTAAACCCTAAACCCTAAACCCTAAACCCTATCCCTAAACCCTAAACCCCAAACCCTTAACCCTAAACCCCAGACCCTAAACCGCTTTGCTGGTCAGCTCCCGGCCATGATTGGATGACCTGGTGGGTGCCCTGAGCCCTGATCCCGCCCTCATCCCTGAAAACTCTTTAGGGTTTAGGGTTTAGGGTTTAGGGTTTAGGGTTTAGGGTTCAGGTTTAGACCCTCAGGGTTCAGGGTTCAGGTTAAACCCTGAATCCAACCCCAAGCCTCAACTCCACAAATCCCAAACCCCCAGGCCCCAAAGGGGGGGGGGGGGGGGGGTCGGAATAATTACGAATAACCCCCGAAAACCCTAAGCCCTATAGCCCTAAACCCTAAACCCTAAGCTTAAACCCTAAACCCTAAACCCTAAACCCTAAACCCTAAACCCTAAACCCTAAACCCTAAACCCTAAACCCTAAACCCTAAACCCTAAACCCTAAACCCTAAACCCTAAACCCTAAACCCTAAACCCTGTTCGAATTCTTTAAGGCCCCTTTGTTTACACAAGCCTAAGCAGGCTTTCGGATCGGGCGCGCAGGCAGCGCAGGCCGCAAGGGCAGGGTTTAGGCTTTAGGGTTTAGGGTTTAGGGTTTAGGGTTCAGGGTTCAGGGTTTAGGGTTTAGGGTTTAGGGTTTAGGGTTTAGCTTAGGGTGGTTACATGGTCACTTAGTATGGGCCCTTAGGCGGGCCCCTTATGTACCCACTACATACCCTACACAATCCAAGGTCCCACACTTCAGAACCCTTAGGGCTTAGATTTGGGGTTTGGGGTTTAGGGTTTAGGGTTTAGGGTTTAGGGCTTTGTAGTACTAGTGGTGCAAAAACGTCTGTCCCGTTTTTTTATGTGTAGGCGATTAGGTTTACAGTTTGTTGTCTAACGTCTGGTGTTCATTTATGGGGTTTAGGCTGGGATGTTCCCCCTTGTACTAACCCCCAAACCCTAAACCCTAAACCCTAAAACCCTAAACAGTCCTTCGTAGGGATTCTAGTACCCGCTATTACAATCCCTATTCAGGACTGTTAGTATAAGGGGGAGCATCCCAAGGTTAAGGAGTTTGGAGCTCTGGGTTTGTCATGATGGGCCCTGAGCATGAACTCTTCTAGGCTTCAGTCGTCGAAACGCACCTGAGCACCCTGTCGGATTGACATTTAGAGTTTATGTGTTAGGGCTTAGGGTTCAGGGTTAAGTTTTGGGGCTTGACATTTAAGGCTTGGGATTTAGGGCTTACAAAGTTTACGCACTAATCTCTGAGGGCTCGCTTGGCGGCGTGCGGCCAGCTCCTTAGGAGGTCCTATAGTATTTGACCCCCAAACCCCCATCCCCAACCAGGTGTAGTGCTTGAGGCTTAGAGGTTAGGGTTCAAGTTTCTCTGGAGTCCTTATCATTATCAGTATTTTTACTATCCTTGCTTTTTTGGGGGACCCTGAACCCTAAACCCTGAACCTAAACGCTAAGCCCTGAGCGGTTTAGGGTTTAGTTTTGTATAGGGTTTAGGGTTGGGTACCCTAAATCCTAGATCCTGAGTTTGACCCTAAAACCTGGACCCGAACACCTTTGCCCGGAGCCCAAACCATCCGACCAGAATGCAAGGCGCTGCTGAGCCAGATACTGGCACCCAAGCTGAAGCAAGCATTCAAGGATGTTTTTGGGCGTTAGGGTTTGGGTTTGGGGGTTAAGGATGAAGGGTGCAGGGAATAGGGATTGAGGTTCAGGGTTTTGGGTTTTGGGTTGTGACTGCGCTCCTGCAGGCAAAAATTTTTTCGCATCTAGACCCTGAACCTGAAATCCTAAACCCTACCTGTGCCATGGGGTTACGCACCCTTCCCGCACGGCCATGGAAGTTGCAGAATGGAAAAGAGAGTCCTAAACCCTAAACCGAAACCCCAAACCTTAAACCTTGAACCTTAAACCCTACCCCGAAACCCTCAACCCTCAACCCTAAACCCTCAACCCTGAACCCTAAACACTAAACCCTAAACCCTAAACTAAACCGTGAACCCGGGGGTGTGTGAATCCAGAGCAGCCAAGGTGATCCGCTACGACGGGAGGTGCATGAATTTGGCGGCCCCCCAGCTTAGTTACTTGCAGAGTTCAGGGACTTCTAGGGGTTCAGAAGGTTTAGGGTTTAGGGTTTAGGGTTTAGGGCTTAGGGCTTAGGGCTTAGGGCTTTGGGTTTTCGAGGGTTTAGAGAGTTCAGGGGCTTGTAGGGTTCGGGTTAGGCTTCAGGGTTCGGTGGGTTTTCAAAGCTGTGGGATGTAAGGCTTTAGGGATTTCTGGAGGGGGCAAAGGGGGAAAGGGGGGGGGGGGGGGGGCGGTTTACTCCCAGGAGCGTTTTTCGTTTTTGTGTGGAGGCCTTGGTTCCGAAACATACTGGTTCTTAGTAGGGGACGAGGGAATGCGTTAGCCTTTAGAAGCCTTTCATATAAAGTCCGTAGTTCCCTCGTACTAAGCGGCAGCAGGGAAACACCCTGTAGTCCTGAACCCCAAACCTTAAACAGCTTGACATGAGGCTTATAAATGCAGTAGCTATAGTCACAAACTGGCTATAGCCTTGTTCGTGGCACTTGTACCACAAGTCAACCACACACGCTAGACCCCAGAAACAAGCCCTAAAACCCAAACCTCCAAACCTCTACGCCCTCGAAACCGCAAGCCCCTACAACTCTGAACCCGCAAAACCCCGCAAACCCTAAACCCTAAACCCGAAACCCTAAACCCTAAACCCTAAACCTACCGGGGCTCTAAGTAGGGATGAGGGAAGTCGGTACCCCTTAGCCTTCAGGCCAACACGTCCTCGCAGAGTTGGACCGACTTCGGCAACCTTGCGGCCAGTCGGATGGGCGCCTTCCTGAGCGTTTAGGGTTTAGGGCTAGCCTACACCCTAAACCCTAACCCTAAACCCTAAACCCTAAACCCCAGCTTTCAGGGGCCTCTGGGGTTGGGCGAAAGAGCTTTTGGGTTGGTTTAGGGTCTCGGGTTTGGGGTTGAGGGCTTAGGGATTTTTGAGGGCTTTAGGGTTCCTCCCTCACGCCCGGAACCTTCAAACCCTAAGCCTGACCAGGGGGTTCAGATGGCAGCAGATGGCAGGGTTTAGGGTTGGGTTTCGGGCTAGGGTTTAGGACTTCCGGTTGAGGGGTCCTCGAAGTAGCTTTCAACTTACAAGTTCTTCCTCGGGAGCTGGGGAATCAGGTACCTTCAGTCCCCCCAAAAGACCCTGTCTGGTGTTACTGCAGGGCCACGTCCTTGCCCTAAACCCTAAACCCGAAACCCTAAACCCTAAACCCTAAACCCTAAACCCTAAACCTCAACCTCCTTGCTCCAAACCCTAAACCCTAAACCCTAAACCCTAAACCCTAAACCCCACGCCATCACGAAGGAGACGTGGTCTTTGACCCCAGCATGCACCTGTCGCCTGGTGGCAAAGAAGTCGGGTTTTGCAGTGGCAGGCAGAGGGCCGAGGGGTTTAGGGTTTAGGGTTTAGGGTTTAGGGTTTAGGGTCTAGGGTCTAGGGTCTAGGGTTCAGGGTTCAGGGTTTGGGGTTTGGGATTTGGGGTTTGGGGTTTAGGGTTCAGGTCTTAGGGCGGGGTTTGGGGCTTAGGGTTACCCAAGGGGACAGTCAGGGGTGTGGGGCGAAGGCACCATTCACCCCAGTCCCCGGCCCCCAAATCCCTAAACCCTAAACCCCAAATCCCTAAACCCTAAACTCCAAAAGTCCACTCCCGAAACCCTACGTGAACCGCTGAAAACCCTAGGCCCTTTAGTCCCTGCACCCGAATCAGTCCAAAAGGTTTAGGGACCCTAAAACCTATATAAACCCTGAAACCCTAAACCCTCAGCCCTAAACCATAAACCCTAAACCCTAAATCTTCAAAGCCAGGCTTATGGGCATCGGCCACTCCAGCACCGGAGTCGGTGTTGGCTCCATCGTCAAGGACGAGAGGGTTGATAGTCTTTAGGGTTTAGGGTTTAAGGTTTAGGGTTTAGGGGAGGAGTGGGGGAGTGGGGGAGTGGGGGAGGGTTTCGGGTTTGCAGGTTCGGGGGTTTTAGAGATGATAGTTTAGGGTTTAGGGTTTAGGGTTTAGGGTTTAGGGTTTAGGGTTTAGGGTTTAGGGTTTAGGGTTTAGGGTGTGACATAAACTGCCTGAGTTTGTGGGTCCGCCGCGTTTCTTGTTATGAAGGCTCCTGCCCGTATTTCTGACTCTAAAACCCCTGGAGGTCGACTGCCTAAAACTTGGGTACGCTAAGACTCCGCCCCCCCCCCCCAAAAAAAAAATATGTATGATAAAACAATCGCAAAAAAAACTCTTAAAAAACAATCCCTGAAGCCCGTTCACCTTAGCGCCCTCCGCGATTGTATGTGGGGGTTTCCGGGAATTAGGGGTACCTTATTGGGGTCCTTATTACAAGGGAATCCTATCATTTGGGGAGTCTATGAGGAGTCCCTTATTTTAGTAAGCCCCCCCTGTGTATATGCTGGCCCCGCACCCCTAGCGCAGAGGAGCAAATGGCACGCGAACTCAAGCATCACGAATCCAAGATTCACGATCCAAGATTATCGGTTGATTGGCAGTCCACGTCTTGCTGCGAGCCTGGCCAGCTCCAACATGCGTCTGACTGGGACGCCAACGCGGCCCAGCAGATTGAGGACGGATTGTCTGGACACATGGGAGGACGAAGGCTGCCCGATTCTAGAGTGCCTTCATATGGCTTGCCTGCTGCTGTTGCGGAGCGGCCACAATCGATCTGCGGCCACTGGCCACTATAGCAGATGCTGTCCAGAGTTTACCTGTGCTTTGTACATTGTTCCTGTGGCGCCAGTACACAGGACAGCCGTCCGTGGGTCCGTGGGCGGCGCAGTGTAGCACCTTCTGAACCCCTCTGGAGCCCTATGATGAATCTTCTACTCTAAACTCCTATGAACCCGAAACCTTAAGCCTTAAACTCTAAACTTTCTGGATGTGTGCGAACCCGCAACCTAACTCTTCAATCGAAACTACGAAAATAGGGCACCCCTAAAAAAGACCTGCAAGTAGTAGGATTCTCCTATAATAAGGACCCCAACAAGCTACCCGTATTTTCGGAACCAAACCTGCTTGCCAGCCCTTGAAACTACCCTAAACTCTAAACCCAAACCCCAAACCCTAAACCCTAAATCCTAAACCCTAAACCCTAAACCCTAAACCCTAAACCTGCTTGCAGGTGACCGGGTTGACCGAGTCGCCAGAGCTCAATGGCGCAGTGGGCCAAGTGGTGCACCTGGGACAAGGAAACGAGGGCTTGCTGTTCAAAGGGTCCCCCTGGTTCTTAGTAGGAGTTTAGGGTTTCGGGTTTAGGGTTTGGGGCTTGGGGCTTAGGATTTAGGGTGGGAATTAGGGTGTAGGGCAAACACTGACCCCTAAACCCCTATGGAGTCCGCCCCCTCAAACACCAAAAAGCCCTAACCAAACCCCAAACCCCAAACCCTAAACCCTAAACCCTATCCCCAAACCCTAACCCCTAAACCCTAAGCCCCAACCCCTAAACGCTAAACCCTAAACCCTAACCCTAATGCCGAGGAAATCGACAGACAGCCAGCTGGAGGTTGCCCTGCCCATGGGGAGACGGATCCTGCACCAGGCGGGAACCGCAAACTTAGGGTTTAGGGTTTAGGGTTTAGGGCTTCGGGCTCAGGGTTCCCCTGCACCTTCGGAGCCCTAAGAACCCGACACACTCTTTCAGGGGCTCAACCTCCTTTAAAGGGCTTCTAACCTAAGCCCTAAACCCTAAACCCTAAGCCCTAAACGCTAAGCCCTAAGCCCTAAACGCTAAGCTCTAATCCCTAAACCCTAAACCCTAACCCTAAACCCTAAACCCTAAACCCAAAACCCTCATCCAGGACAACGTGGTGCCAAACCACCAGGCAGTGGTCACACGCTGCGCCGCCTTTCCCCTGGACCTCGCCAAGCCCGTAGCCTGGCATTTAGGGCTTAGGGCTTAGGGCTTAGGGTTTAGGGTTTAGGGTTTAGGGTTTAGGGTTTGGGGTCAGGGGGTTTAGCCTTAACCTCTCCCTGACTCTCACGCTTCAGGGTTTCATCTCACGACCACCCTAACTAGCCCCTACCCAGAAGAAGGCCCGCGCCACCTGAATAAGCCATATTTGGACCTCGGCGGGGGAGGAAGGGGAGGAGGGGGGGGAAGGGGGCTAAACCTCGCGGTTAAGGGGGTAGTTCGGGTCGGGGTGGGGGTGCAGAATTTTCTTGAATCCAAGCTGAAGTTTCCCTTGTCATTTTTGCAAGTAATTAGGTGTGGGGGACTCTTTTCTCGAGTGGCTTCCTTTGAAGATTAACCCTAAGGGTCCATGTACCTTATTATTATGTACTTGGGCCTTAAGTCCCTAAATATGAGGTACTTTAAGGCCCAAGTATTCCCTATTTAGGTACATGGAGGGGCTGAGGGTTGAGTGGAGTGTATGGAAGGTTTTGGGTTTCCTAAACCCTAAACCCTAAACCCTAAGCCCTAAACCCTAAGCCCTAAGCCCAAAACCCTGAACCCTAAACCCTAAGCCCTAAACCCTAAACCCTAAACCCTAAACCCGAATTAAACCCTAAGAGTGTAGGGGGTTGATGGTTTGGGGGCATCGTGCGAGATGCATGACAGCTCGAGGCTGAAGCGCTAGGGTTGAAGTAGAAGCCCTGAGGGTTCATTGCCTCGAAACCCTAAACCCTAAACCCTAAACCCTAAACCCTAAACCCCATTCGCATCACAAGGTGAACACCTCCGTGCTCCGCGTGCTCTGGTTGGAGCAGGAGCTCGGGGACAGAAGGAGGGACCAGTCTCTAAGAGGCCAGACCGGCCGGGTTCAGGGTTCAGGGTTCAGGGTTTAGGGTTTAGGGTTTAGGGTTTAGGGTTTAGGGTTTAGGGTTTAGGGTTTAGGGTTTGGGGTTTGGGGTTTGGGGCTTAGGGTTTAGGGTTTAGGGTTTAGGGTTTAGCGTTGCTGGTCCACCGCCAGATTAGATTTCAGGTGGTCCGCCTCTCCTTCTCCCAGGCACGGGGCTTGACAGGGTTTTCGGGTTTAGGGTTCATGGGGTTGTATGGGATTTACAAGGTTTATTTATAAGTTACAAGGTTTATAATAGGGCTAGTGGGATTAGTTACAGGGTTTATAGGGTTGTGTAGGGGCGCCAACTTCTAAACTCGAACGTGACTAGGGAACCCTAAGAAGCCTACCACCCTAAACCCAAAACCCTAAACCCTAAACCCTAAACCCTAAACCCTAAACCCTAAACCCTAAACCCTAAACCCTAACCCCCTCTGGCAGGATGCCCGCACACCGGGGGCCAAGCCTTCGAAGGGCCCGCTGCACGCCATCGGCCACCTCGACTCATCTTTGGGGGCTTGTTGAGTTCGCGTTGTAGCCCTAAACCCTAAACCCTAAACCCTAAACCCTAAACCCTAAACCCTAAACCCTAAACCCTAAACCCTAAACCCTAAACCCTAAACCCTAAACCCTAAACCCTAAACCCTGAACTGTTTGGGGGTTTAGAGCTTAATTTGGTGTTTTTGACCCAAGCTTGGGGGTTCCAATCTCGGGCTTCTTGGCCAAGGAAGCTAAACCAGGACCCAAAGCGGGCCCTTCTTCTCTATTTTAGGGTTAGGTTCCTTTAGGGTTTAGGGTTTAGAGTTTCGGGAAACCGTAAACCCTTAACCCCAAACCCTTCGTGCACAAGAAGAAGGAGCTGACTTCCTGGGTTGCTTTTTGTTTCAATGTCCCAAGGTTTGTGTTGTCGCTCGGGTTTTTTGTTTTGGGGATGAGGGGTCTCGGGGTTACCCCGAGCCCCAAACCCCATACCCTAAACCCTAAACCCTACACCCCCGAACTCTAAACCCAGTCTGGCTTTTGGACATGGTGCCTCCGGATACTTCGGTTCGCCATGGGCGGGGTGCTCTTGGTTAACATTGCGATGATTGTTTCTGGTTGTTTTTCATTGCGACAATGATCCGTTGGTGTTTGCTCGCATAGCACTCGTCTGTTTCTTGTTTCGAATTTCAGTTGCTTGAAGATGATGGCGAGGAAGACGATGATAACAGTGGTGCTTGTGAGATGTTCGATCACCCTAAAGCCCTGAACCTTAAACCCTTTTCAGGGTTTAGCGGTCTCGGTCTAGCGGTACCCAGGTGCGCAGTACATGGGCATGAGCGTGTGCGGCAGAAAGGCGCATGGGTTTCGGGTTTAGGGTTTGGGGTTCTAAACCCTAAACCCTGAACCCTAAACCCTATAAACCCTAAACCCTAAACAGGAATCACGTCATTTTGGGGCGGTTAAAGCTTCGTATTGAGCTTGTCTGGATCCCTTTTTTGAGATGTCCGGGGCGCGTTTCCGCATCGACGTTCCCTTAATGTGAACCCTAAACCCTACAGCCTAAAACCCTAAACCCTAAACCCCAAACCCCAAACCCCAAACCCCAAACCCTAAACCCCAACACCCTCCGTGCCCCCCCCCCCCCCCATGCCCCTGGATGCAGCTTCTCCTGGAACAGAAAGCGGGCACCAGGGTTTGGGGTTTGGGGTTGAGAGTTTAGGTGTAGGGATCTCAGCCTGAGCGGTTTTGCTTTCAATGACGAAAGGGTTGAGGGTTAAAGAGTAGGGTTTCGGGTAGGAGAATACGAGGGTTCCACATTTGTGGGCCCAAATTAAGGGGTCATGAAATTTTTGTAAGAAGCTTGAAGCACCTTTCTGTGGAGACTTGCTAAGGTATCGGGGATGCATCAATTCGGTACAGGCCCGGCGAAGCCCCAAACCCCAAAACCCTCAAGCCCAGTTGTCAAGGACAAGCCACAAAGCTGAGCGTTCCACGTTTGGGGCTTTGAGGTTTCAGCAGGTTCGACTTAGGATCAGCCTTCTCCCACCCCTAAACCCTAAACCCTAAACCCTAAACCCTAAACCCTAAACCCTAAACCCTAAACCCTAAAGAATTTGCCGCTGAAGCCCTGCACCCCGCGATCTGCCAGGAGGTATCCCTGGGCGAGCTGCGAAACTTCCTTTGGAACCTGCATTTGGATGACACTCAGTTCGCCAAGGCGCGTCGGGCTTAACCCCCTTTAAACCGCTACAGTCCCTGCAAGCCCTATGATAAGCCACATAAGCACCGTTTACGAGGTTTCGGGCCTTAGGGCCTTGGGGCTTTAGGGCCTTAGGGCTTAGGGCCCTAGGGCCCTAGGCCCTAGGGCCCTAGGGCCCTAGGGCCTTATAGGGCCTTAGGGCCTTTGGCCTGGACCCCTGGAAGGTACGCAAGCGCTTTGCCCCCAAGGGGGATTACGTCGACTACAGCGAGGCGGGGCCTGTCTTCAAGGGTACCGGCTTAGGGGCTTCAGGGCTTTAGGCTTTAGGGTTCAGGGTTTAGGGTTTAGGGTTTAGGGTTTAGGGTTTAGGGTTTAGGGTTTAGGGTTTAGGGTTTAGGGCCGTTGTAAACTGTAGATTTTTTGTTTTTTGGGGGAGAGAGGGGAGGGGGGGAGAGGGAATCAGTGCATCAGACAGCTGGCATAAAGGATGGCATTCCCTAAGCCCTATATGGGGGTTTACGAAGAAGAGGGACCCCGAATACAGTCCCAGAAATAACAGGATTCCCTTATAATAAGGGTCCCAATAAGGCACCCCTAATATCGAAAGCCCCCATATGAAGCCCTGAACCCTGGCGCAGGGGGTGATTAGGCGTGGCGTGTTTGGGCAATACAACACCCTTTGCTTAGGATGTTCGTATCGCACCCTGCTGAACACCCTGGTTTACCTGAAGTTTGGCGTCCGTTATGGTTTGTCCATCACCGAGAAGGAACTACATTGTAGTCTTCCACTCGGGTGCAGGGTGTACAATGATGTTTGACATTGTGCTGGCCCCCCCCCCCTGGCTTTCGCAGCATTTTGTTGCACCAGACTCCTAAACTCCTACAGGGTGGGGCCCCCTTACTATGCTAACTGTAGTTAAGGGACTTAGAACCTAACTTAGGGTCCTTATAACCCAATTTAGGGCCCTTATAACTCTACTTATAACTAGGGGGCCCCACCCTGTAACGTCCTAAGCCCTAAACCTCCTAAACTCCCAAACTCCTAAATCCCAAGCCTTCGACTCCTCAACTCCTAAACCCTCAACCCTAAATCTTAGTTCCAGTGTGGGCTTTCTGGGGCTTGGCTCAAGCTTGGAAGGGGGGTTTATGGTTTAGGGTTTTGGGCCGCGGGTTTTGTGGCGTTGGGGTTTTGGAGTTGGGGGTTTAGAGTTTAGGGGTTAGGGCCTTGAGTTTGGGGCATTGGGATTTAAGCGGGGTCTTGCGTGTCCTTGATATGCAGGTGCTCTACCTACTCGGCCGTCCGCATTTGCAGTTCCCGAACGTGCCAGTGGATGCCCTCATCTACGAAGCTGCCAGACCCCAAGGGGCGTCTGCAGAGAGACCTCTGACCCTTGAGTTGCCCCGCCCCAAACCCTAAACCCCAAACCCTAAACCCCAAACCCTAAACCCCAAACCCCAAACCCCAAACCCTAAACCCCAAACCCCAAACCCTAAACCCTAAACCCCAAACCCCAAACCCTAAACCCTCAACCCCAAACCCTAAACCCTAAACCCCTGAACCCTGAACCCTTCAGCGCGGCTCTGAACCCCGGACCCTGTCTTTCGTACCCTCGATGTCGCAAACCTATCTAAGTCGTGTCGCCTGTATCTCCTAAACCTGAAACCAAAGGCCTGAAACCGTAAGTAAGGTTCAGGGTTTCGGTTTTAGGTGTCAGGGCTGCTTTCCCCGACTTCCTACTACGTGCCTGGGCCCACGATACCCACCATAGTCTTGGGGATTCCAACTTGAGGGGTGGTCCTAGTCACAGCAGAATGCTATGTTGACCTACACATAGAAAAGGGTACTCTTCTTCGTGTATCCGGTTTGAGAACCTACAAAGCCCTGAGCCAGAACCCTCACCGTACAACTTTGTCATGGTGGGGTAACATGTTACATTTTTAAGGGAACTTAAACTCAATCAGGAATAGCATTTTAAATTTATTACTATCCCAACCATGAACCAGACAACAACAACAACAACAACAACAACAACAACAACAACAACAACAACAACAACAACAAGGGAAATTGACCTTCTGCCTAGGTCGTCTCCATCCTTGGGCGCAAGCTGACCGCCCACATCGATCGGGACTTGGGTGCTTCTTGGCTGGATTTAGGGTTTAGGTTTAGGGTTTAGGGTTTAGGGTTTAGGGTTTAGGGTTTAGGGTTTAGGGTTTAGGGTTTAATTCCTTGTCATTTTATATTAGAAATTGAATGGTCTTTTAGTACGCGTGCATAAGGGAATAAAAGTAGTGTGTTTCGTGCGTGCAATATTAATATGAAATGCAAAGGTAAATTGATGCACGCTTTGCATTTAATATTAAAATTGTGCACGCCCCAATAAAAGCCCAATATAATAATCAAATCGTGAGCAAAGCGCGCGTAAACTTGCCTTTGTTCACGCCTTTAGTATTATATTAATAGGGCTTTTAATGGGACATGAACGTACTATTCACCTCACTCTTGACTCTGAAGCTCTATCTCTAGCTCCTGTTAATGGTTGATCTGGGGCTGAGTTTTAATGTCTTGAGTTACTAACCGGCTTAGAGACCAGTCCAACCGCAGCACCCATCACACCTTGAGACCCTAACTCTCATATCTTGACTCTGCACGAAACCTGTCCATGATCAGCCAACTATAAGACCCTAACCATCTATTACCAGGAGTTAACGGTGTGAAAGGTCATGAACTTAGTGACCAAAGACCCCATGTTGACCGTTCCCCCACAGCTCTCTTGACCCTATATTACGTACCAGCCAGGAAGCATTAACCGTGGATGGACGTACCAACCTGGCTCATGAATCCAACCTCACAGCCGTCACCAATCCACACAGTAAGACACATGAAGAGAACATTGGTTAACCGTGTAAACGAAGTGAATACAAGTGCATTATAATGAGTGAAAAGGAAGCATGAATGCCCTTGTAAGAACGAAGTGAGCACAAGAACCGGGCGAATACAATAATAAAGTTACCGCCCGGAATAATACTACGGTTTAAGGTTTAGGGTTTAGGGTTTAGGGTTTAGGGTTTAGAGTTTCGGAGAGTTGGGTCTGGGGTTTAGCGTTCAGGGTTCTGCCTGTCGGTGTGTCGATCTCACTGCCCGAACGTCTGTTTTTTGAACCCTGAAACCAAAACCTTGGGATGTTCCCCCTTTTACTTAAAGTAATTGCCCCCTATTATAATCCCTAATTATCGGACTTTTAGAAAAAGGTGGAACATCCCAAACTAAACCCAAACCCTCAACCGGTTTAGGGCGTTATACGCGGCACCCAGACGTTGCACCCAGTACAGGATCCTGAGCTGGACTTTAGGCTCAGAGACAGGTTTTGGGCTGGTTTATAGGCAGGAACCCTGAACCATCGCAGCTACCACGGTTAGAGACTACAAGTCGCAAACGGATGATCAGAAGGCTTCCAGGCCTGCTCCTCCCCAGGTAGGATGGGGTTTAGGGTTTGGGGTTTAGGGTTTAGGGTTTAGGGTGTAGGACTGAAATTCAGCTTGGCTGAGTTTTGTTTGGCTGGGGAGTGGGCCCAATGATCGTTAAGTTTTAGCCGGGGTCGTATTGATGTTTCGCATGGGCATTCACAATTCCTTTCGGGAGTCTGGGGCTCAGGGTTAGGCTAAACCCTAAACCCGAAACCCTAAACCCTAAACCCTACACCCATCACCTTCCAGAATGCACCTGCTCCATCAACCAAGGCCGACGATGACGGCATCGGCTATCGAAATGCCTGTAGGCGAGGCCCCGCCATAAAACGCGCGCCCTAAACCCTAAACCCTAGAGTCGAAACCCTAAGGACGCAAACCCAAACCTCTAAACATCTCTAAGCCCTTGCCCGAGGCAGCCTTAGGGTTTAGGCTTTAGGCTTTTGGCTGAAGGATTTAGGGTTGAGGGTTTAGGTCCTATAAGCCCTGATCCGGTGAAGCCCTAAACTTCTAAACCCCAAAGCCCAAACCCCAAACCCTAAACCCCAAACCCGAACCCCAAACCCTAAACCCCCATACATCGAATACTTGGCCGGGCGCAGGAAGCACTGTGCGAGCTACTTCGTCTCGATCCTGCTCCAGCCACTCTGCTACAGACCTTACAACCTAAACCCGCACTAAACCCTGTAGACCCTGAGTCTGGCCCTAAACCCTAAACCCCAATCCCTAAACACTGAACCTTAAACCCTACACTTTGTTTGCCTAAATTTAGCTGAGCTTGGTCGGGAGCTTGAATAAGGCTTTCAGTTGGAGCTCCATGCAGTATCTCCCAGAATAGGGGTACCCCTAAAATGCCCCAAAGCTAAATTTTTCCCTTGCCCTTAGACCTCCAAACACAAAACGCGAAAACCCCAAACCCCTAAAACGCAGAGGACCCCCCAGAATATAACCCGTGGTCTTGGGAAAGCAAAGAGTTGGGGCTCCCCGACCCTTGATGCTAAGTCCCCTGTCCTTGGGTCTTGCATGACTCTCAGGGTCGTTTCATGGGCCCTTCACATGGTCCCTGACCTCCCTCAAAGGGTTCTGAAGTACGGGCCCTTGTATGGAGTAAAAAGGGGTACATAAGAGGTCCCCTTTTAAGGGCCCATACTACGGGCGCATGTAGCTACCCCAAGAGTCTTGCATGGCTGCGCTTGATGGCGGCGGCAGAGGCTCTAGTGAGGAAGGGCCACTGAAGCATGAGAAGCGCCAGGCGCCATCGCCGCTGCGATCTGGATCCGAGAGTCAGCATTGGGAGCAAGCCCTAAATTTCAGGCCTAGCGGCACGGGCCGGCCCCCGCCCCCCAAAGCACGAAACCTTGAACCTTGGCACTGTCTTCTCTTTCCCGTGTCTTTGTCCTCTCCTTCTCTCTGTCTCTCTTTCTCCTGCCTTCGCCACCCCTCCCTCCCCCCCCACCCCCCCGGCGCGCCGCGCGCGCGCGCGCGCGCGCGCGCGCGCACCCGCATCAGGAGCATCAGTGGGGTTGGTTTGGGGGCCTTAAAAGCATTCTATGCATGCGTTTTGCCTTCGAAAAACCTTCAGAAAACGCTGTAAACACGTGTTTTTGGGCTTGGGAAGCCTTTTGGGACCCAGGAAAGGGAGCATCATGAGCATCAGCGGCCTCCCCCAGGCCATCCAAAACCCCCTTAAACACGCCGATTGTATGTGCTTGAACGCTTGCGTGCCCACGAAACCCCCAAAAGCAAGACCCCGAATGCCCTTAAGGGCATTCGGGGTCCTGCTGTTCGGGTGTTTTGTAGGCACGAAGCCGTTCGAGCGCGTAAAATGAGCGATTTTAGGGGCGTTTTTACGTGGACCCACAAAACACTCGGTATTTACGAGGTTTTCTGCTGTTGGAACACCCCCCCAAACCGAGCATCATGAGCATCAGCTGGGTCTCTGGGCCGTGGGCCCGGAGGCCCACGAAGCCCACATGAGAAACGATGGCTCGATGATGCCCCGGACCCCCGCGCATCAGCAGCATCAGCAGACCCCCCCCCCGACGTGGGTTTCGATGATGCGCACTTTGGGGGCGGGTCAAGGGCAACACGGGTGGGGGTCGGAGGCACGCGTGAAAACCCTCATAAAAACACGGTTTTTTTTACGGTGATTTCAGCGTTTTTCAGCGTTTTTTCTTGCCTTGGGTCCGCGGGCCAGGGCTGCTGATGCTCATGATGCTCGCCTGGTTTTGGGCTTCCGGTACCCCCCCCAAACCTTGAAAAACATGGTTTCGGCCTGGCGCGCGCCCCATGTGAAAAGCTAGGGTCGATGATGCGCGCCCGTGAGGGTTTAATGGGGTGCTGCGGGTGTTTTGTGGCCTCGGTTTTTCGTAAAAACCCATGGTTTTTACGAGGTTTTCGTGCTTTTCGCACCACCGCGTGTTGCGTCCCCTTGGATGCCGTTTCGGAGGCCTCCCGAAGGGCCCCGCGCGAATTTGAAGCAATTTTGGGCGGGGTCGGCGGCTCGGGCGCTCGCCCCTTAAAGCTAGCGCTTTTGTGCGACGCGGGCTCTGCCCTGGACCACGGGCGGTGCGGGGGCCGGATTTAAGAGCCTCCGGCTCAAGCCGCCGACCCCGCAGGAGAACAAGTTGGGGTGGGGGGGGGGGTGGGGGGGGGGTGGGGGGCCCCCCCCCCACTCCTTTTCCCATCCAACAGTCCGTCAGGGTCAGCGGACCCTAAACCCTAAACCCACCCTAAACCCTAAACCCTAAACCCTAAACCCTAAACCCTAAACCCTAAACCCTAAACCCTAAACCCTAAACCCTAAACCGTGCAGGATTCTCATGGGGGTGCGCGTCTGCGGTATTAGAGGTTCGCGCCAGAATGCGCCCAAAACGTTCTATCGCAGAAAGGACGCGGTCAGCCTGGATCGCGGATACATTGTCCTGTACATATCTACGCAGACCCCTAGGAGGATCCAAAAGTAGGACCCCCAAATAGTATTCTCAGGAACCCTCAATTGGATCTACTTTTTGGATCCTCCCATGAGGGTCTGGGTAAGGGACGCTCACCCTCAGCCGAGCATCTTACACGGCTTTCGAGCACCTCATGCCTTTTGAGGAGTACATCCACCAGACCTGAGCGGGTTAAGGGTTCAGGGCTTGGGGGTTTACGGGCTGCCCCTAAACCCTAAACCCTAAACCCTCAACCCTAAACCCTAAACCCTAAACCCTCAGCTGACGAGGCCCAGGTGGGAACCCCTAAGCCCTAAACCCCCCGGCTAGGACCGGATAGGAAAGGCATCGCAGGGCTCTCTGAGGCCAGGCACCTTTGTTGCTCCACTAGAACCAGGGCCCCTGTTCAGGTTTAGGGTTTAGGGTTTCGGGTTTCGGGCTTTAGGGTTTCGGGTTCAGGGTTTCTGGTTTTAGGGGTAGTTCCCTGCAAGCTCAACTGAAGGTCTGTCATCTGGGTGAACCTCATTGGTGCCCTGGTGGTGTGGCTCTTCAGCTTGGAGTTCGAGGCCCGAAGGGTTTAGGGCTTAGGGTTTGGGGTTTAGGGTTTAGGGCTAGGGTTTGCGGTTTATGGTTTAGGGCTTAGGGCTTAAGGCTTGGGGTTTAGGGTTGAGGGTTTAGGTTTCAGGGTGTAGGGTTTGGATCCTTGCCCCGACGTTGACCTACTCAATTTGGATCCTTGCCCCGATGTTGGCCTACTCCTCGTCCTCGAGGATCCGATGGTAGAGCGGCCTCGCTCTTCTTTTCCTTCCCCACTGCGCTGTCCACAGCGCCTGCTATGGCTCAAGAGGTTCCTCTAAGGACTGCCACCTTAACCCTCCCTCCCCAGCTCTATGAGCCCGGAGATCAAGAGGTGACAACGCAATCAGCAGAAGTTCCAGAGCAATCAGCAGACCTTGGGACGTTCACACTCACTACAAACTATGTTTTTCAAAGATCACGAAGTGAAACTGCTGATTGTTGGTGTCTCTGACTCCAGCTCGAACCGAGTTATCCCAGTCCAGTACTCAGGCTCCCGAGTATAGGCTTGCTCTCCGACCCAAATATCACTGGCTACACAACGCTTTCCGGAGGATAGATTAGCGAAAGTTGTCCGTTGAACCCCTATGTTCTTGAAATCTACAGGACACTCACTAACCCCAATAGGAGTAAACCTCTCCCTCCTAGGACAACGGTGGACACGCTCAAGGTATCCCTTTTCCTGGTCTACCCTCCAGAAATCATTGTGCTCGTGCTTGCCGTAAAGACAGGGTTCTACTGACGACTGCGGTTCTGCTTTCAGCCACTGTAGCTGCTTACGCTTGTCAGCCCGCTGCCTAAGGATCATTCCCTCGTCGTATAGTGCGTACTTACCTGTACGGAGACATTCGCGCAGACGACTGGAATCCATAGTTTTTGTCAAGCAGTCGGCTAACATTGCCCCAGACGCCACCCACCTGAGCTTACAGTTCTCTTTCATCCGCTGTCGAATGAGCAGACACTCTATGGTGGTGCGATGCTCCTCGCACTGTGGAGTAGCAGTTCTGGTAACAATATCAAACACTGACTTGCAGTCGGTTACAGCGGCTGCGGTGGGCTGATGGGCTAAGACCTTTGCTGGATCATGCCACTCAGTTTGATGGTCCTTTAGCCAGGCCCACATAATTCGGATCCAAGAGAGACGGTCTACCGTATTGCTTAACGCTATAGCCTCGGCGCCTAAGGTACTGCGAACAACTCTAGGGATCTTCTTGGAGGACCAAGCTACTGGACACACTAAGGCAGTGTGGTTCTCAAGGAGTTCGGGACTGGTAGAGAAAATCACTGTCCCTTGATGAGCGTTCGTTTTCAGGTTAGAAGCAAACGAAGCGTCTGAAAAAGCGCAGAAAGTCAGATCTGCCTCGTTTATCGGAACGATCATCAGTGAGACAGGGTGCTGTTTTGCTTCCTGCAACACTCTGTTGGCTTCAAGCAAGTGAGATACTCGAGCCTGGTTCACGGCAGACTGCAGTTCACCAACCTTTGCGCTCAAATCAGCCCTAGTATGCACTGCTGCGTACTGCAGACTGCCGATGAGCTGTCGGTATCTCTGCTTTTCTTCAGCAGTGACCTGAGCATCTGGTGTCCTACGCCTATCCCTTGGGACATTTATGGGATCAATGCTCTCAACATAATCTCTTTGGTCCATTTCAATGCTCATATCATCCCACTGGTGAAGCTTGATCCCAGTGAACACAAAACTTCCCGTTTCAAAAGACCCAAAGCTGAAACGCTTGCGAAGCTTCTCGAGAGTTTCGTGGAACACGTCATCTCCTCCACAGATTCCATCATCTACATGAATCCCTAGGACCCCGTGACTACGATACTGCCCACCTGCATCCTGACTTGACAATGAGAAGACACATGGGTCTAGAGGACATTGATGGAATCCGAGTTCCACAAGTGCCTTTCGCAACTCTTGATACCACAAATACGGTGCGTCTATACGCCCATATGCCCCTCCTACGAGTTCACAATCATCCCCAGGGCCTAGAGCTAATGCTTCCTTAATCTCTGGCGGGGCTTGTATCCCTAGAAGTCTCCCATCGCCCTTGCCGTGCAAAAATGCGGTGGAAATGTCAAAAGAGCAAAGGCGCCAACGGTTACTACTTATCTTCTGGAGGATCAACTGACGCCCATCTTTACTTAGTGTCGGTGCGTCATTGGGCACGCTATCCAAATCCGGATCTTCGAAGCCTAAAACTACGAGACGCGCCTTTGCTTTCTTGCCATCTGTCGCAGCCGCATCCTGTTTGGATGGATCAACTGTCTTCCAGGTGTAAATCCACCTGCATCGCATGATGTTTCGCTGCGGAATCCTGCCTTTGGCAATTTGGCGAACAGTTTTATGCGAGAGCCAGGCACTAACCTCCTTATGTTTAGCAGCGGCAAAACGCTTCTGATCCTTGACAGTCAGATCCCTTAGCTTAACCTCCACCCGCTTCTTGCGGCTCTCGCTAGCCAAACAGATCATGTCTTCATCGACCTGTTCCGGGAGATTCCAAGTTTCAGGAGGGGTGACATCTATTTCCCAGCACATCTCAGACCCACACAGAAATGCATCATCCATGTCCTCATCGTCCCCGAACTCTACATCACTTGAGGGCCCAGGGCTTGAAGGCACAGGAATCTCCCGGCTGCGTTCGTGCCGTTCTTGCTCTTCAGGACTTAACGGCGGTGGAAAAATACTGGGAGAATCTACCTCGGGACCCTCGTTCGGAGGATTGGATTCCACGTGGGCTTCACTTTCGGGTTCTGAAGATATGTCGGGCGCTGGTGTTTCTTCAGGCAAAAGCTCCTCTAACGTGGTTTCGAGTGAAGGATTCTCTCCTCCCTCGAGGTCTACAAAGAGGGGGGCTCCCTTGAGTTTCTCCTTCAAAGGCTTCAAGGTGTCCAGGGGGATCCCGTCCTCATTCTTTGGGATGTAGTGCCACTCCCGGAGCGACGCCGCCCTGATCTGCTCAGGACTCGCACGGATCAACCGCCCAGCATGACTCAGCCAAACGACGCGCTGCTTTTCAATCGAAATGATCTCTGCAGGCCCATGCCACCGCCCATGTTCTCGTCGCATGTTTGCTCCTTTTCGCCTCCAGTAGAGCACCATATCGCCGACTTCCCAGTCCATCCGGGATGGTCGGGTCCGTCGAAGCAGTGCTCTCCTGAAACTGGAACTGTTGTCCACCTGGATGAATGCTCTGCGAGCGCTTTCTCGCAAACGAAGAGTTTCCAGGAAGCGTTCTCCCTCCGGTGTCTGGCTTTCAGCCAGAGCATGCGCCGCTGCATCACTGTCTGAGAGGAGCGACCCAGGCAGTCGACATGATACTCCAAGCACTGACTGTTGGGGAGTATACCCGTCTGCCCTACACAAACTGTTCTTAGCATTGAAAACTTGTCGTAGCGCAGCTTGAAACTCCACCGAACTACCGATTTCCTTCTCCAGATCCATGCGACTCAACATGCGTTTTACCGTGCACCCGTGAATCTCACAGCGTCCTAACTGCCAATGACTGTCACCAGCAGACATGCGTACCACAATTCCGGCTTCCTGCATTCGCAGCGCCCAGGCGTCTGAGATGAACTCCCCTCCCGGATCAACATACACCTCCCTGGGAGGCCCTGCCCAAGTCACCCAGCATGACTCAAAATGTCGAATGATTTCCTCTGCCCCGGAGCCTCCCGCCTCAGGACCACACTCCACCCCAATGTGAAACAGTGTAGCCTCATCAATGAAGTGAACAAAGTGAAACGCCCTTCCCTTAGCATTACGCCAGGTCACCAAATCCATGCCCACCTTCGTGTTGAATGCAATATTTTCGTGAATGGCGGATGGCCGTGCGGCGTTAAACCCCTTGCGTGACTCCGTGCAAGCATCACATTGAAAATCCAAAGCTGCTTTAAGGACTTCCGGGCCAGCCCCTCCCTGCTTGAGGTAGCGCATAAACTTTTGCGGATCCGGGTGACCCAAGTTATGGTGAAGCTGTCGCATTTCACTTTGTTCCTGCGCCGACAGTCGGCTAAACCCGGGGCCATGATTTGCGACTGGCGGAGGACCCCACGCGAGTTTAGGCTCAAGGCGACGGGACTCGGTGCTGGAAACTGTGGTTTCGGGCATCATGACATCGGACGTGGTGTTGGGCATCATGACATCAGATGATGGGGGTTCCACCGGTGTCTCGCGGGGTACACAACCATACACCGTGAGTGCCATTTTGGCCGGTTTCCCTGCTCGATTTTGCTTATACTTGGGCAATGAGGCCCAATGTTCGATGCTTGTGTCGGGTTCGACCTCTCCGGTGTTTCGGTTGATGACAATCGTGAAGCGATGAGAAATTAACTTAGGATCATACTTTCCGATCGGCACCCTAAGTCTGTTGACCCCTCGACAAGCTTCGGCATGGTGTACCCTCATGTCAGGAACCAGAGCCTGTATACTTTCAATCAGGCCATCTTCCGGGGGAATAATATGGTTGCCTCCTTTGGGAACTCTAGCATTCAGTGTTCGAAGGACGACATGCCAGGTTGCGCTACTCCTCCCATACTCATTTTCTCGGGGGGCCTGTTTGAAAGTATACCGCCTCCGTCGCTTAAGGATTTGTTCGGGCACTATGTCGAGCTTATCTGCATCTCTTTTGTCGTCTAGATGACAGCAGAATTCTTCTCTCAAAAGGGGCCTTTCAGAACCAAGGGCAACCACATATTTAGCTACGTTCTTTGCCAAACCCTCAACATACGTTCGATACTTCTCGCAGAGCGCAGTACCATGAAGACTGCTACCCTTTTGATCATACCGAATGTATCTATGATCTAGTTTCGCATGAAGAACCTGGGACGTGGTGCGAACAGCGCCCTTCTGTCGGAGAAAGTTGTTGCCTTGTAGTCGGGGTGGCTTGGGAACGTGACCTAGATCATACTGAGTGATGAGGGTGCATTTCTGCAGCGCACTCAACTTCATCCCAATTGACCCTCAAGTCAGACAGTACATGAAAATGCCCTCCCCTAGCAAGCTGAATAGAATAGAGATCGGAACATAACCTCAAAACCAATTCCTGTGTTTCCTTGGACATCCCTGAACTAGTTACATTCACCCACACATGACGCGGCTTCCACACATCGATCATTTGCCACAATTTGTCTTCGTAACTGGCATCGCAAAGATCTCTGGCCGACAGCTCGATCATCTTTCCTTCGCCTCCTAGAACACACACATAACGGCCTATGGTACCAGGCCCTCCTACGCTAACTTCCAGGAATGTCTTGCTGTTTGAGATCTGCGAAGACCGCTTAGGGCCCTGGGGATCGCGACAGGTTCTACTGGTCTCGCGGAGGCCTTCTTCACACAGTTCACAAATCGCATCGATCTGCTGCACTATCATATTTAACTGCTCCGGAGACAACGGGGAGGATCCCTCGTCTGTGGCCGTCGTAGCCACTTCTGGCTCACCTGGCGGGCTTACGGAGACTGCGGCTGCTTGGCACGGCCCAAGTCTCGCTGCAACGCTGCAATCTGCGCCTCGAGTTGACTGATCGTTTCGGGGCTCACATCTTGCTGCATCGGGATCACCGGCGTCTCTTCTTCTTGGATCAGGTCCCATGACGGACTCCTTTTGCATGTCCCCTTGTTGCCGCTCGACATCATGCCCTGTGTCTGCGGAATGACCGGTTCTTGCTTCCTGGCCGAGCTCATGGACCCCTGGCTCCTTGTCCCGATGACCTTGTGAGTCTCGAAGTGGTTCAGGTCGTCGGACTTGGGCATCGGCGAGGTCATCAATGATGTTCCTGGGCTGTAGGCACTCTTTTGCGCCCGCGTCAAGGCTCGGATGAACTCCTGGAAGCTTTTCAAAGACTTCTCGGTGAGAGACCGGTTGGCGATATAACGTCCATAGCCGGGATCTTGTTCGACCGCTGCCAGGAAGGTCTTTCCGCGGTGCTTCCCGGATTCGAGAACGAAAGTCCCCCAATCGCGCAGCGAACTTACCCCGACTGGTTTCGTCACCGGCTTGTCGTCCAGAATGTTCAGGTTCAAGTCGCTGTCCTCCTTCCCAGTCAACGCGAGGTCGAGTATCTGGGTAACGTCGGTCATGTTCATGCGCTCCGATTCGGGCGGATGGGCCAAGTTGAGGACCGAAAAACTGCTGGAAGTTTGGAGCGTCTGTTGTCTCACTCAATCCCTCGGTCGCAACCAAGACGTCTGCCGTTTGAAGCCCCAAGAGCTCACGAACATCGATTAGATACAGCCCTTTATCGCCTACGTTCAGGGGAATTTCTTTTTGCCACTGTGGAATCCAGAGGGTATTGGTTTCAAAGTTCAGGTGGCTCTTAATTTGTCGCAAAAATGCATTTGAAATCAGGAACGGCGTTTGGCCGGCAACAATTTCCACAGCAAACATCTGATGCTTTCCAAAAGGGATGTATGCGGTCTTAAGGCTTGCTAGGGTTCCATTGTTGCCAAACCGAAACACTACCTGAGAATCAGCCATGCGAATCTGCGCACGTGTGCTTGCAGGTAACTGCTCAGTGAATCGACTAAAGTTCGATTTTCCAACCACCGTTGTGCTGGCGCCGGTGTCAAGGATAGCAGCCTCTGCCCTAACGGTCACTAAAGCCCTTTCACGATGGTCATCAGCCCTCAGCCTAGGCTTACATAGCTGAAGCAAGCGACTCTGGAGTCTGAGCTTGACACCTTCTGCTCGGAAGCAGTTCGGGTCAACAAGATATTCATGCTGCCCAAAGAACATTAACTCTGATTGCATGCTAATTGGTGAGCTGAGGTCGGGTCTTGGGGACGTGCTCTTCTCTACCATGTCGCCCTTCTTGAGGTACTCCTCGAGCCCGATGGTGCTGAAGGGAAGGGGCCGCTCGAGAATCTCGGCGGCATCTCTGACCTCCACGTTGTCCTCCGCTATGTCGGTCATCATCATGGCAAAGTTGTTCACCTCATTTCCAGGCCCTGCTCCGGAACTACTGGAAGACCGCATCGGACACTCGAGGCGCCAATGCCCTCGTTGCCCGCACAGTCTGCAATGGCTTCCCGCGATGCGCTCAGCCAACGACTTCTTGTGACTGCCAAATCGACCGCCCTTCTTTCCTCCTCCTTTGCCCTTCCCCTTTCGGGGAGGCCAAAACCCTCGGGACTTTGCTCGATCTCGCAGGCGTTGGCGCGCAGCAGCATATGCTGAGAAACAACTTGCCAGTTCTGGCATGTCTTGGATCATTTCGTTGATGCTGTCTTCGTACTCGGTGATGAACACGGCGTCTTCATCCCCCAACTCCGCAAAGTACACGAGCATCTGGTCCTCGTCGTAGTCTTCCTCCACGAAGTGGGCTTCGTCCGTCTCCTCTGTCTCCACAAAGTTCGCCGGATAGATCTTCTTCTTGCCCTCGCTGGAAGAAGTCAAGATCTTTGTAGACAGAGTCCGCATTGCATTCTCGATCTTCTCAGCTTCCATCGTGCCGCCACTAAGTGTGATCACTTTCCTCTTGTCCTCTGTCGTCAAGTAGCTTTGGCGTAGCAGGATGAAGGCCTTGAACTCCTTCATTGTGACAGCGTCGCCAAGCTCGTGAAATGCCACCGAGAGGCGATTCACGAAAGACATGGTCGTTTCATCCATCTTCTGGGTGGTTCTGTAGATGGCCTTCTCGAACTTCTCGTACGTCTGCAGCTCTGCTGCCTCATCCCACGAGGACAATGCTTTCAGGAGTACTTGGATGCCTTGCTCAGGGTCTGTCAGCTTCGTTGCATCGAGTGCCTTCACTTGGCTCCAGGCTGTTCCTTTGCATAGAAGCGCTAGCCTCGGTGCCAACATCGATCGGTCTTTGGCCGGGCAAACTTGATGCAAGAAGATGACCTTGTCCTTGTACTCTCTGGGATCGTCCGCTGCAGGATCAAAACTTGGCAGGAGATTCCATATGCCCCTGCTGGACTCCTCGGTGCTACTTGAAGCACCACCACCATGTTCACTTGATTCCGTCGGCATCTGCCGGTCTGATCTTCTTGGGCTCACCTCCTTGGATCACGGACGCGCCACCCCTTTCGCTCCACAAAGCGGGGGTCCAGGCGCTCCGCTACCAATTTGGATCCTTGCCCCGACGTTGACCTACTCAATTTGGATCCTTGCCCCGATGTTGGCCTACTCCTCGTCCTCGAGGATCCGATGGTAGAGCGGCCTCGCTCTTCTTTTCCTTCCCCACTGCGCTGTCCACAGCGCCTGCTATGGCTCAAGAGGTTCCTCTAAGGACTGCCACCTTAACCCTCCCTCCCCAGCTCTATGAGCCCGGAGATCAAGAGGTGACAACGCAATCAGCAGAGGTTCCAGAGCAATCAGCAGACCTTGGGACGGGTTCAGGGGTTAGGTATTGAGCAAATAGATGCCGTATGGCTGGAGCTAGAAGTGTAGCTGTAGCTGGTTGTAGATTCTCCGGTATACTCAAAACCACTAGCTACCCATGAGACTGCAAGTTGAATCTGCAAGTTTAAGGGTTTAGGGTTTAAAGTTCAGGGTCTTAATTTGGGATGTTCCCCCTTATACTAGCAGTCCTTAATAGGGATTATCATGGGGTACTATTATCCCGATTAAGGACTGTCAGTATCCGGGCGAACATCCCAACATGTAAATGTGTATGTGTGTTTTTGTTCGTGCACATGACAGACAGTCCCTGCAGACCCAAGAAGGCCCAAAGTGGCCCTAGGTTTACGTATTTAGAGTTTAAGGCTTAGGGCTTTTAGGGTTTATGGTTAGGGTTTAGGGTTTAGGGAAGAGTGTTTAGGGTTTAGGGTTTAGGGTTAGGGTCTCCTTGAACCCCGGGAAGGTGGGGGTCGACACCTTGGACGATCCGAGCATCTTCTTGCCCGCGGGCATCGCGTGGGGAGCTCGTGGGAGGGTGGGGTTTAGGGTTTAGGGTTTAGGGTTTAGGGTTTAGGGTTTAGGGTTTAGGGTCTAGGGTTTAGGGTTTAGGGTTTAGGGTTTAGGGTTTAGGGTTTTGGGGGAGGGTGGCTCAACCTCTGGGGCGGGTGTGGGGCTGAGGGATTTGGGGTCTACGAAAATACGGCGCCCCTAAGGTAGACCCCCAAATAGTACGATTCCCTGATAATAAGGACCCCAATCCGGTACCTCCAAATTTCGGAAACCCCCACGAGTCTTTCAGGTTTAGGGTTTAGGGGTTTAGAGGCTTAAGGGTTCTTGTGCAACTACAGCTTCATGGGGTAGACCGGCTTGCTTAGGGGCAATCACCATTAAGCTGAACAACAGATCGAGTTGCAGGTGGGGTTTGAAGACGCGTGGGTAGTTTGCGCCTCAACACAGACCATACCCTCGACGGTTTTGCGGCTTCGGGGCCTACGGGCATTCGGGTTCAGGGCATTAAAGAACTAGGTTTTAGGGTTTAGGGCATTATGCTTTAGGCTTGAGTGTTGAGGATCGAAGGGCACCCCCCAAAGCCCAATACCTTAACCCCAAAACCCTGAAGTCTCAAGGAACGCCTGAGCCCGGAATCCTCAACCCTGCACCCTCATCGAACCCTAAACCCGAAAGCCTGAAGCCGGAAACCCTGGTACAAGGGTTGTTGGGGGCGCTCGATGAATCTGTGCCCCTTTTTTGTTGTGGATGTCGAAGGGGAGTTTTCTCGTTTAGGGGCTAGGTTGTCACGGTTTTTGTTTTGCTCTGGTTAGGGCTCATGCACATGACGTCCGAGATGCTAGAGAACCCGCAGATAGGTTTCGATTTTTAGTTCTCATAGAGTCAAGCACGGGGCTTGCTATCACCCTTTCCTCATAGGGCGGGTCTTGGAATGGCGTTTGAGGACTCTTCAGTCTTCAACCCCAAACCTAACCCCCCTAAACCCGACGGCTAAGGCTGAGGGCGAAGGGTTCAGCGATGGTGGTTTCAGAAGGAAAGACTTGGGCCTTCTTGCCATTCTCTATACGCGTGCCTGACCATAAACCCCTAAACTCAAAGGGTTTCGGGTTGAGGGTGTAGGATTCACTAAAGTGCCTCTGACCGCCACAGGTACATCATCTACTTGTGCCACGTCGCCTGCTGTGTGCGGTTGACGCGTGCGTTCGAGAACCAGACGGAAGGCCTGCGACTAATTTTCGGGAGGTGCCCCATTTTTTTAGGGTTTAGGGTTTAGGGTGTAGGGTTTAGTGTTTGAGGTTTGAGGTTTAGGGTTTAGGGTTTGGGGTTTGAGGTTTGAGGGTTGAGGTTTAGGGTTTGAGACTTTCAGGTTTGAGGGTTTGAGGGTTTGGGGTTTTAGGGTTTTTGGGTTTCAGGGCTTTAGGGGTTTTAGGGTTTTAGGGCTTTAGGGTTTAGGGTTTTAGGGTTTAGGACTTGAGGGGTTTCGGGTTTTGGGGTTGTTTAGGGTTATAGGGTTTAGGGCTTTCGGGTTTTAGGGTTTAGGGTTTGCGGTCTTGGGCCTTCTAGTTTCTGTGTCTGGACAAGGGTGTAGGGTCTGTGGCGTCTAGAGGGTTTAACAGTAGGGTTGAGTGTGTCAAGGATGGTGCTGAAGTAAGCCCCTGAAACCCCACAAGACCGAGACCTAAACCTTCAAACGGCAAACGCTGAGCCCCCCAAGCAACATGGAGATTTTTGGCATGACACCTTCGCCGATTCGCAGCAGTGAATTTGAAAGCTTTAGCCTAAACCCTAAACCCTAAACCCTAAACCCTAACCCCTAAACCCCTAAACCCTAAACCTTACACTAGTTATCCAACAAAATCCCAGCCTCATAGAATCTCAAAGTGGCCCCACACAGCAAGTGACACTGAGGGGACGATTGACGATTTATGGTTTAGGGTGTAGGGTGTAGGGTTTAGGGTGCAGGGGTCGAACATCTATGTGGCTGTTTGTAGGCTTGTGTTGCCATGATCGCTTTCACAGAAGGTTGACAGGTACCGACAGAGCCAGTTCTAAGATCTTAGGGTTCTCCCAAGCCCGGAATTTAAGTATCCTCAACTGCCCTACACCTCAAAACCTGAACGTATATAGATACCGGGACCTCCCTTGAAGGTTGATGGGTAGCTACACAGCTGGGCTCTTGCAAGTGCGGTGTACCTGTGGCCATGATTCTCTCTTAGCCCCAAGCGATCAACCTCTTTTCTCTATCTACCCATTTGATCCCCGTGCCCATCATTCATACTTTTGTTGGTGGGGGGGGGGGGGGGGGGTCTATGTACATGAACGTGAAGACACGAAACCATGACCCTAATTAGAGCCATTGAATGACCCCCAGCCGCCAGAACACCACTCTACCTTTACGTAGGGTTTAGGCTTTGCAGGGTTCAGGGTTCAGGGTTTAGGGTTCAGGGTTCAGGGTTTAGGGTTTAGGGTTTAGAGTGCAACACACTGGAATCGGTCACCATTGAAACTTCAGCCAGGCATAGAGCAGGCGGGGCGCTGAGTATGAAAGCTGCTCAGGTCAAGGGACTACATTAGAAGGGACCTTGGGGGTTATTTGGGGTTTAGGGTTTAGGGTTTAGGGTTTAGGGCTACTTAGGTATAAGGGGACTATAAGGTATATAGAGGGGTTCTTTTGGGGAATAAGATTAAGGGCCCCCTCCCAATACCCCTTCAACAGGTTGCCTACCCGTGCCCGTGAGGGTCATCAGCTCACAGCCTGAACTTAGATGCCAAAACGCCAGAGTTCAGGTTTCGGGCTTCGGGTTTCGGGTTTAGAGTTTAGTTTAGTGTTTAGGGTGGAGGTTTCAGGAGGAGCCTTAAACCTCAATCAAGGGGAAACCTCCTCACACCCTCAACACCGACATCCCTCAAGGCCTGATCATGCTTTGGGGTTTAGGGTTTAGGGTTTAGGGATTCAGGTCAGGATGCTTCCTGGTCTATTGACTTACTTCGCCTTTAATTGAACTTTAAACTTTCTTCTGGGTTTCCTTATTTTGTAGGATTGGTTATTGGAGAAGTAAGTTGATCGTCTTCCAGATTTTTCGGGAAGGGGCCAGAAAGCGGCTCAGAGTTTGAGGTCTAGAGTTTAGGGTGTAGGGTTCTGGTTTCATGGGGCTCAGGGTTATTTGGGTTAGTTGGGTGTGAGGTTCAGAGTTGAGGGCTGTGTTTCGGCCTGATAAGTTCCTCTTGCAGTCAAACAATGCATCGGTTCAGGGTTGAGGGTTTAGGGTCGAGGGTTGAGGGCCCTAGAGGTGTCTCCGCTGCTGGGGGATGCTCCTTGACAAGGCCCATGGGCAACTTAACCAGGCAAACAAAGCCCCCTAAACCCTAAACCCTAAGCCCCAAACCCAAATCCTAAACCCTAAACCCTAAACCCTAAACCTTAGCAACTCTTAAATCTTCCCTCGAGGTCATGGCTGCCATGGACAAGCCACGCTTCGAGGATCCGTACTACGCCTGGCATGTACAGTGTATCCTGGCGCGGGAAGAGGGTTAGGTGTTGGGGTTTAGGGTTAGGGTTTAGGGTTTAGGGTTTAGGGTTTAGGGTTTAGGGTTTAGGGTTTAGGGTTTAGGGTTTAGGGTTTAGGGTTTAGGGTTTAGGGTTTAGGGTTTAGGGTTTAGGGTTTAGGGTTTAGGGTTTAGGGTTTAGGGCCTTGAGCCCTACAGCCTGAACCCTGAAGCCTGAAGCCTGGACCCTGATGAGCAACAGGTGTGGGCTCTATAAGGTGAGACTGTGGGTTTGGAGCTGGGGACGGGTTTCCAGTTCCCCTAACATTCCCTCTAAACCCTAAACCCTAAACCCTAAACCCCCCCCGAAGTTGTACTCTTCACTTGGCTAAGGCTCCGTAGGTACCTCTTGTCCCCTCTCGTAAGATCTGAGGGTAGTTTCATGGGCACTTAATCTGGTCTCTTACCCTCTTTAAAGCGTTCTGACGCATGGACCCTTCGGTTGTGTAGGGTGGGGCCCCCTTACTATACTAACTGTAGTTAAGGGACTTATAACCTAACTTAGGGTCCTTATAACCCAATTTAGGGCCCTTATAACTCTACTTATAACTAGGGGCCCCACCCTGTATAGGGGGTATATAAGGGATCCACTTTAATGGGCACATATTGAGAGACCATGGAACGACCCTTCGAGAAGAATGCTACAATGGTTTAGGGTTTTGGGTTCAGGCCCTGTACCTACGTAACTATGTAAATAATGCCCAGCTGTGCCCTGTTCCCTTACTGTTCTTTTGAGATTCAGAAGCTTGAAGCCGAACAAGTTGATCGTGTTTCCGATCATGGTGAGCTTTTGCGTGAACTCCGGCATGTTCAGTGCAACCCGTGACGGCCGGTGAGGTTTCAGTGAGGATTGCTAGCCGAGTACCAGCCTTCAGGCAGGAATTGTTGGCAGAAAGTGCCTTCCAACTGAATGGGACCAAGCCGATGCCAAGCGTGACAAGGCGGAGCGTTCCGCTGTAAGGAACATGCGGGTCCAAGTCTTGACATCAAATGCTTCAATACGTGGGGTGAACAGAGGAGCTAGGGTCTCTTCAGCCAAAAGCCATGCCCAACAAGCTCGTCACGAAACATCTGGCCTGCTTTAGGAAGGGGGTAGTACCCTAAACCCCATATTCTGCACCCCTGTGTAGCCTGAACATTTCCACAACCCAAAGTTGCGCCCAGCTACAAGGCCATCCGGGTTTCGTGTTTCATGTTTGGGGGGGGGGTTGTGGGGGCGGGTGGAGGGGGATGGCACCCTGGACTATGTAGAACCTCCAGAAGTATCGTCATATGTTCAACCGCCAAAGAGTGTTTCCTTTATTTAAGAAAAAAGCAGAAACAAATAGCTCGTCAATGAGGGTCATATGGGTTGGGGAACATCCCTAAACCCTAAACCCTAAACCCCAATCATAGGGTTCATTTGATCACCAAATTCTTGAGGTTATCACTACGAGACAAGGACTCGTACGCGCACCAACAAGGACCGGGGGTTCGGGTTGGCGGTTTAGGGTTTTTGGGTGTTGGGGTTGACCCGAAAACCATCTAAAACTGCAAGCCCGAAACCCGTAAAGTCCACCCTAAATCTTAGCAGTAGAGTAGGTAACCTTTAACCTTTTTGGGGTAATAGATTCCCCTTATATTCCCAAAGGTTAACCTTTAAAACCCCTAGGTACTGGACAACTAAGAAATCCTTGAAGGCTCCAAGCAAAAATAGGTAACCTGACTCCGAAACCCCACGGTCAACAGCTTAGGGTTTAGGAGGATTGGGTTTAGGGTTGAGGGTTTAGGGTCTAGGGTCTAAGGTATAGGGTATAGGGTTTAGGAGAATTTTGCTTTGGTTTCTTGAGGGTCAATCATAAAAGCGTGTCCAGCTCGAGTTTCATCAGGGCTTTTGTGTTTCCGGCCCAAAAAGACCCAACCCTAAACCCTAAAACCCCAAGCCCTAAACCTTAAAACCCTGAAGCCTGTGTGCGTGACACCCTAAACCCTGCCTCCCTTATAGGCC